CACTATCATAGCTTTAAAGGAGACCACTATCATAGCTTTAAAGGAGACCACTATCATAGCTTTAAAGGAGACCACTATCATAGCTTTAAAGGAGACCACTATCATAGCTTTAAAGGAGACCACTATCATAGCTTAGAGTGTAATTTTCAGTTAAACTGGTTTTTAGCTCACCTTGACATCGTCAAGATGAGCTATTGCCGGCCCATGGGGCGTCGTGCGTCAACATTTGGCCTATGGATTAGGTAGATTTTGGCAATTTCACTATGCATTTCACTATCTGCCTATGGTCAACGATAACTGAGAACCGTTTGACCCACATGTTTCAAATTGCATACAGTTGTTACTCCTATGGGAGAGATTTGCACGTCCTATTTTGAAGTGCGCCAGTCGACCTACTTTCGAGCCACGCCCACTTGGCAAAAATGAAAATGGCCATCTAGATTCGATTTTGTTAAATTTACCTACCTACCTACCTACCTAATCATACCTACGTGTAATATTATGTTTTAGATTCTTCGTTACAGTAATTTGACTGGAATATTTTATTGCTTTTATTTGCGCGATAATCAAAAACCAAAATGGCAATCATTTAGGCTTGGCGCCATCTTTCGCCCAGATTTCAGACTTTCAGATCTGAAACATATTTTCGCATCTAACCCTGAAACAAAACAGTGAAATTTCTATTAGTATAAAACAGAGAATAAGGACATTTGATCACATTTCGGTCCATCATAAATGAAACACTTACCAAATTTTAAATATCATCTCCCTCTTATATCACACCCAAGGTGAGCTATAGTGTCATTGACACTTTCATTTTACCTTTTGATTCTCCTGACATTATTAATTATTACACTGTTGCATTGTGCTTGCAGGAGCTTCAGACTGCAGACGAGGACCACGAGAGGGAATCACTCTCCTCCTCTCAGTCGCAGAGACAGACAGAGGGAACAAGCAGGGAGGTGCTCCTATTTTTAGCACCAATCACACTGGACGGCGCTGATCGGGAATCTCAATTAGCCTAGCATAGTCCTGTGCCACACTGGGAGGTAATATCAGTGCATCATGAATCATGATGAATAATATTTATGTAATAGTGTCTAGAAATCACTGGCTGCTTTGTTAGCTTATATGACCAGTGTAGAGATCCTGATATTAACCAGAACATTAATTCTTATGTGGCTTCTATCAGTAAACTCTGTGTTTAAGTAAATAATTCAGTGTACTTATTGACACACAAATTACTTAGCCAAGTGTTATGATAGTGTGTTTTGTTCTGTTAGCACTCCCACGCAAAATAATATCGCTAACTCTTTCATTCTGCTCATATGAATCACTGACTTCCGTTCATCACACTAATTTGCCGATAGACTAATTCATCTTCGTTGTGATTGCTGTAGGTTACCAGAGTCAAATGGTTCAGAAACAGTTCATGCTAATCTAATAAATTTAAAGGAATGATTTAGCCAACAATTATGCTGCACCCTTTTTTAAAAACTATGAACTGCTATTCAATGAATGTGTTCCTGTTAGAGCAACATGCTAATCGAATCTCTCACTAACAAGTGTCAATGGAGAGATGTCAATAAAAGTGTTTAACAGTATGGTCACTTGCAACTCAAAGTACAGTCGACTTCGCCTAAGTTGAAACCAACATCCAATGGAGGAAAAGCTTCGACTTACGCGGGCGCGGAAGTCGAATTTTTTCTACATAAAGTAACTGCATGTTTCTATTGTATCTTTGTGGTCGCATATACATGTATTGTGTTGATATTGACACTTTCAAAGTTTCAATTACAATTCACGCTAGTGTTGCCTTTATCGCAATGCGTGTTATGTCAGAATTACACAGCAGGCCGTGACACCCGTGTTTGTGACTGTGCACATCGTGGCTGCGCATGTGCCTGCTGGCTGGGCGGCATTCATTGAAGTATGGGGGGGGGGGTTCACGGATTGTTTCAGTCGCATGGCGGCGTGGGGCATGTTCATTACTGTACATGTTCATAAAAACAAAGAGCCTCTGACTTCGACTTGTGCGATGGAATTAACGCAGGTTTGAAACAATTGGGACTAGAATTCTTCTTCGAGATAGCCGAAATTCGACTTGTGAATTTCGACTTAGACAAAGATTTATTAAAGAAAAAACAGGGAAAGATCGGGACTTGTGGAGCTTTGACTTGGCGGATTATTCGACTGGTGCGACGTCGATTTAGGCGAGGTCGACTGTAGTATGAAACAAACATGCACTGGTGATTTTTTCTAAACTCCTTTGACGTTTGAAGTGTTCTGGTACAAGTAATATCACTGTTGATGGCTTCAATTATTCAAGCTTCTTGATAAGCTTCAATGTTCGTGTCTCGAGTATAAATGAGCTAGCTGCATGGGTGTGACTTTTCTTTTGGTACCTAATGCTTTATCTTGGTAATTTAAGGAAAATGAAGCGACGGACGATTGTTTAAAGGGAAGCAGTGCTGTCTCATGTTGGCAAATTCGTAAAAGAAGCTACTGGCTGAGAACTTAATGCAGATGTTTTTTATTCACCTCATACTTTAGATCATTGGTCCTTTGCTGCCTTTGGTGTTGTTGCTGCTGCTGCTGGTCACCAGTTTCATAACATATCGCATACTGAATATTACTACTGCTACCGTAAATATTTGCCATTCTGTTGTGTGTCAATACAATTTATCTGAAGTGAAAATGAATTGGTTTGATTTTTTAGATTACTAATCAAATATGTCTATTCAGCTATGGCAGCTGAACAAATTACGCGTATGTTACGTATTATAACAATGTTATAAGTTAACAGATGTTTAAATTTATTAATGTATGTACGTGCTATCCCATGATTGGGTTTTAGCTATTAATAATATTACTATTATTATTTCCCAAGTGGATCACGGCATTAGCCGGTGGCTTCTGGGTTGACCTTGTCCCAACCTGGAGGGATTCAATCCAGAAGCTTGTGCAGGATGCGTGCTGTTCCCATTAGTGCAATTTTCTGCAATTCTTGGGCAGTGTGGTGGCCAGGAAGTTTCTTGAGGTTCTTCTCAGGACCATTCTTTATAGAGCCAAGGGCCCTGGAGCCCGTTGTCAGAAACAAAATTAGTCTTAACAATAACATTTTTTCGTAGACCGTCTACAGCGCTTTGTTTCGTATTGTTCTCAGGAAATCTGCTACGATTTTTCATTCAGGTAACTTCGCAGCGTTTCTGTTGACGGTCTAAGAGAAAAAGTTAATGTTAAGACTAATGTTAAGACTAATTATGTTTCCTGCAACGGGCCGCTGACCACTACTGGCACAACTCACATTTTAGTATTCCACATCCTGCTAATCTATATATGGCCAGATCTTTGTATTTGGAGAGGTTCTCTTTTTCCTTCACCATGATGTTAGTATCATCTGGTATGGCTACGTCAATCAGCAGGCATCGTTTTTCTTTCTTGTTGTGGAGCACTATATCATGGTGGTTTGCAGGTATCGGATGATCTGTCTTCACTGCCATATCCCACATTATAGTAGTGTAGCGTTTTATGATTTCCCGGCGACACCCGATGGCGCCACCGGTCGAAACGTAGTGACTAGCAGTAACCTTAGGTAAGCACAATCACCTGTTGTGCCCGGAGGTGTTGAAATGGCCCGTATCGTCGCCACCCGGACTCTGCTAGCCACCAGAGCGCCTCAGTGCTACTGCGCTCCCTCCACAATAACCCGTCCCACCGTGTTCCGGTTCCGGTGCGTCGTGTAATTAGTCAACAATGCCAGACGAGGGACGACACACACCACAAACACAACAACGGGGCAACCCCACCCTGCCGGCCTTATGTTACGTCTCATAATAAATGTCATCCCGGTGTATAAACAAAGTCTATACAAGTATAATGAATTATGAACGCAGCCAGGAAAAGGGCTAAAATAACCGGCAGCCTCCCCCCCCCCCCGTGCGGCCGTGCACGAATAGGCCAGCTTTTCCCCTATTCATGCAGAGTTAATACTTCTCGATACTGTAGGAATATTAAACCAACCTATTTAATATTATACTAGTACTGTATTATTTACTCGCCCCACAGCAACAGGACAATACGACAGTGCCTACTCACCAACCGACGCGCCTGTCTCTCTCACCCATGAGGCAGACCACGTCAAAGAGGGGGGGGTACTGTTCACAGTTCACAGTGAAAATAAACTGCTTTTCACATTTCACAGTGAAAATAATGCTCTTTTCACAGATCACGGGGATAATCCAGTTTACAGCTCATAAGATAAGGTCATAGAAGTAGGCCCTATACAAGTGTATTTCTTGACTAACAACACTTCTGAAAATCAAAAATATGCTTGCGCAGTAGTCATGCTTATACATGTGTGTGTGTGTGTGTGTGTGTGTGTGTGTGTGTGTGTGTGCGTGCGTGCGTGCGTGCGTGCGTGCGTGCGTGCGTGCGTGTGTGTGTGTATATATATATATATAGTTTCCATATGTTCTTCTGCAGCTAGGGGGGTCCGGGGATTTTTTTAAAATTAGGCTATATTTGGTGCATTCTGGTGAATTTTGAGGCCTGTGACCGGTTTCTGGAAACCGGTGCAAACCGGCCTAAATCCGCGCCTGACATGCATAGATTTACGAGGAAAGAGACCTCTTATTCACAGTTCACAGACTAAGTAAAAGCTAAATCACGCTTCACGCAAGGTGGTCCATTCACAGTTCACAGACAAAATAAATTGCAATTCACAGTTCACGAGGTATAAAAACGGCCGATCACGTTTCACGAAAATACCCTTACCCACCCTCGTCAAACACCAGTGACCGTACAGTACTTCTACCACGGGTACTCGCATGCTAACTGTCACCATATATGCCACACACAGCTCAACAGGCCACTCCACACCATGCACATACACGGAGTGGACAAGGCTACATACTACGAGTCCTCCCTCACTTGATTCCAGAGACGAACTGAACTCCGACTCTTTTCACGCCCACCATCTACCACTACTCCATTACTGGGGTGTGCGTCGGCTCGTACTAATGCACCCCTACCACTACAATGTCCCACTGCCGCGTGTGCAGGTACACGTTCGTGCGTGCGTGCATGAGTGTGTGCGTGTGCACGTACACGTGCGTGCGTGCGTGCATGTGTGAGTGCGTGCGTGTGTGCATGCGCGCGTGCGTGCGTGCGTTTGGATGTACACGTGCGCGCGTGCGTACCTGCATATGCACGTACACATGCGTTCGTGCGTGTGCAAGTACACGTGAGTGCGTGCGTGCGCGCGTGTGTACGTACATCGTACTAGTGTTGCCGCCTATCGTGGAGTTATGTACTATTCGCTAACTCGAGTTAAGCGTCTATACGGGGGGGGCCTTAACTCGAGTTAAGGTAACTCGAGTTAAGGCCCCGTATAGACGCTTAACTCGAGTTAAATTTCGTCGTGTAGCCGCGGCTTTAATTCATCAGTCACTGGTTTATTGTATACTGTAGCCCCATTATAACGTGATGGTTAGGGTTCATAAAATGTAATCGCGAAAAAAGCAGGGTCACACTAAATCGGGGTTATGTATAGTTGGCTATATAAGAGCAAAAAAAGGGGTCCAATGATTCATCGCGTTATATCAGAATTGACGTCAACTCGGAGCGCTTAAAATCAGGGTTCCACTGTAATGTCTTCTAATTTCATGTATTGTATCTAGAATATCGTTGAGTGTAGGCCTACCATTTTACTTGTATTGTTGATATATAACAGATTAATAACAAAACATCTGTTATATATATATCAGTTGCTATTTGATTAATTGGATCTGTACATAAAGAATGAAACAAACAACCTTAGTAGGTGTTGCTATATTTATTTATTTAATGTGGTTCAACAAAGAAATAAAAATCAATAATGTTTTATGGATGTGCACGATGCATATATACTTAAAATGACATAAAATAGGTATATTTTGAAAAACCCTTCTGCTCTAACCAAATGACGCGTGCCCAAGTATCTCTTCCTGCTTAACAAGCTTTTTATCAACAGCCAACGAATGAATATTGTCCATAGAATCATTTCACTATACTCTCAGTGGTGGAATAGCAGGTGCAATAGAGTCCGATTGCTGTAGCCATCTGTTCAGCAGCATCCCATCTGTTGTCATAGCAACAAGGTAGTACGTGCCATCCGCTCCTAATCCCAGCTCAAGCCCAAACACCTGTCTGTCCAACTTTACCCTGGCTACTGGGCAGTTGGGATTGATTTGCACTGTCTTGGTTAGACTTGAAATGTTCATGAAGTATATATACACCTACAACAGGAAGGCATAGGCAGCTGTGATATTTGCTATTTTCCTCGATCAGTTAATGGTTTGGAAATATAATACAGCACTACTGTATGAATGAATAGCTGCTGGCTACCCATACCACTTATAACTAACTGGATATAATCTCTCTTACCCATGTACTAGTTATACAGTTAAACCCGTGTTAACGGACGGCTGTGCAGAACATACACATAAATGATTGTTGGCACTTCTCTTGATATACATGTGCATGCGTACGGGTGTGCGTCTATACTAGAATTTTCTCTTACGCAATGCATATGTCATATCTACCTGGCCATCCTCTGTCCCAACAGCAAGTAGATTTCCACACACAGTAGCTAGTGAAAGCTGCATTCCTGCGTGCTGCACAGCGAAATGATTAAACTTGTGTCCACACAGAGCAAGCCAGATGTTGAAGCCATTCACGGCTATGAAGAGTGGTCCGCATACTACGATGCCCCTGTCTTTCCATATGGTATTCTGGGCTGGAACCGTTGGCTGCCACCTGATAGCGTTAGATCCATCGAGGGCGCAGGTGACAGCTCTATGCTCATCAAGGCAATATATCTGCAGAATTCATGGATGGAGTATATATGCTGTACAATCTACTTCCTACAAGAGCAATGACCATTCTGCAATCTGTAGTTACCCAATGACAGAAATGCCCGTTCTCTGTGAAAATCTAAGCAATTAGAGATCAACTGATATTTTAGGCAACAACTGAACTTTTAACAAGTAAACATGAAGTAATAGCTGAACTAATGAATGCTTTCAATCGGCACTAACTTCACAAAAATCACAAAACAAATTGAGGTTGTTTATCACGTATGCCACATCTCGATTGAAATTTGCTGTAAATCAGTTATATGCAGTATTATATCCCACTAAAAACAACGACAGCAAATTCTAAGTGAGATATAACATAATTCTCAGTAACGTTATTCAGCACCCAGTCAAACGATGTTTTGATAGTCTAACTAACAGACATCTGTTGCAAACCTGACCACCTCTTATTTTATCAATTCTAATGTCAAATAGTCACCCTTATTGTGCAAAGTGTGCTGCAATGCAGTCTTATAGGTATCATAGTACATTATCTCTACCATGTGAGAAAATTTTGGAACTTTATTGAAGCTATTGAGTTTTCAAATTTTAAATGTTCATGTGCTTGATTTTCTAATATAATTCTGCTATTGATGAATCTATAAAAATCATGATAAATACATAATATATATAAATATATGCACATCGAAATACTCTATACACGGATTTAACAACACTACACTTTTGTAGTACGGTGTTTTAGCATTGAGATAGAGATATGGGGAAGTCCGACATATTACCCTGGCAACAGTTCGGGCGATGAACTCAGAAGCCGTTAGCTTACATAATTACACAACGCGAGGTGCTACCACTACGATGCACGAAAGGCGAGAGAAACATTGAGTGAAGACAGCTGGAACGATGAAGAAGAAGAAGAGGAAGAAAGAATAAACCTATAGTTGTTTACCGTTTACATCACCGTTACTATCTACGATACGATATATATATATTCCACGCTACACTTTCACCGCTTACAGTTTCACTCCACAGACTGATGCATCTAGGAGTAGGGATGCAGGTATCAATAACAGGTTGGGGCTTCTCCTCGTGGAAAACTGTCTCAATATTCCAGACTACAAGCCTGTTTTGAATATTTCTCACGGCGAACATCTCCTTCCCACAGCTGCAGGGATAAGATTAAGACTAATTTTATTTTAAGATCATTCCTAAATCTATTTACATGTTAACATTTAAAAAAACTTTTCAGCTGCTTTTGTCAAGCTGCATGAAGTTGCTCGGATTGTCGACAGATAGCAGTAGGTGACCGGTACTGACACTTCTGTAAGGCCACAATTAAAAAAATATTTGTTTGCTCTCACCCGACCCAGGCTGAAAAGTTTGGGTAGGTAGGTAGGCTTCTTTTTTTTATTTTGAGGGGGGTCTTTTTACAAATTCAGCGCGGTGTCTACATGCTCTGGTGTGCTTGTGTGGAGATACCTTTCATGTTGAATGTTTGTTTTGCCTAGTACATATAATGTATTGCCTATAGATTTATATAATGTACAGTGTCAGTGATACAATTTGTAAAAAAAAAAGAATGGGAAAGATCAATAAAATTTCTTGAGTCGGCCCCTTTTTGGCGGGTCGGTCGGGTGAGGGCAAACAAATAATATTTTTATCATGGCCTAATGAGAAGAGAATAACAGACCACAAGTACTTTCGATAGTTCATGTAGAACATGAATGAACTGCTTACATATATACAGTCAAACCTCGGTTATCCGAACATCAATTATCCGAACAAGATCTCAAGGTCCCGTGAATATTTAGTAAGCCACTAGACCACCCGATATCCAAACTATCAGTTATCCGAACAAATACTCCCCGACCGTCTCGTTCGGATAATCAAGGTGTAATAGACTGGCTGAGATTTGAGATATCGTGCAGTATAACTGACCCACAGTAGGAACCAATACCATTTTGGTTTCTCATCATTTTTAACAATTTTCAGGTATGGGGAATCCAATGCCGAGTGGTGTTAAGCCGAAAACTTATTCTAAAAGGGTCAATTTCGCAATTCAAAATGGTGCCTAAAACGTACTAAATCTCACCAAAATGTAATCGTATATGTTATAAAAAGTCGTGTTACCTGCATTTATCTTTATTTATGATAGGGTAAGATACTTCCAAGCCATCCCAACCTGTTTTGATGGCGATCTGGTGTCAAATTCCAAGATGGCCGCCAACATGGCCGCCGTAGCCTAGTAAACATGTAATTATCATAACGTAAGAACCCATGGGTCACTTTTGATGTTCTTGGGGGTAAATATGTATTTTTGCAACATACAACGTTGATTGCTACATGTTTTGTAATGATGTGGGGTCAAGGTCACACAGTTTCAGCACTGACAGTTTTACTCGAAGGATTCAACACAGGCACGCCTCCACCCTCTACTACTATCTGCTAATAGGAACCACCCTGAGATTACAAACCAACACGTACCTGCACAAGTCAGCCACCACTATACACTCGTAAGATCACAGGGGGTCATCCCTACAGACCGAATATTACATAGTAATAACACAGTAATCTTGCAACACGTACACACACGCATGGTTGCGCAACGGGACCTTCTGCTGATTGCCGTGTGTGTGTGTGTGTGTGTGTGCGTGCGTGCGTGCGCGTGTGCGTGTGTGAGAGAGAAAGAGAGAGAGAGAGAGAGAGAGAGAGAGAGAGAG